AAAAAAAAAAGAAAAAGAGAGAAAGAACCCTAGCATTGTCACCAAAGAACTGTTCATAGTTGAGATCAGTCACTAAATTATAAAGAAATCAATGAGGTGGCTCAGCTAAGTGGTTCAGCCATGAGGTAAGTGGGAATTTGGGATGATTTACTCAAAAATAAGCTTTGCCAATTGTCTGTATTAGTTTAAAAGGAAAACTAATCCACCAACATTAACTACATTGAATGTAAACCCAAATGTCTTTAAATGTTCATCCTATTTAATTAGAGCAGAAAAGACAGTTCAGCAGTTTAGACAACCCACCTGCATAAAATTCAACGTTGAAGATGCTTATTACAATTAGCACCACAGACATGAGGAAGATACAAAAGATGACATAGGAAGTATACAAATCACTGAAAGAATCTAAAAAAAAAAACAAACCCAAAATGTTATAGTTCAAGAGATTGCAGTAACACAGCAGTGGCACATTAAGTAACCAGAAAAGAGCACATAAATCAGCAATAATCCAGTGAGAGCTTAAAGGGGTGTGTAAGGGTCAATGGACTCTCTGATCCCACTAGATCTGCCCAGATGCACATTTCTGCATAAAACCATATTTAAACTTCACAGAAAATATTTTACACCTTTATAACTGCCATAACTGAACACTCAAGAGTTTTGTTTTTAAAAAGAAAAAAATCTTCCTAAGTGAGTTAACTATAGCTCATATAAAGCAGCTGCCCTTCATTCAATAAAAGCTGCAGCCATCCAGCCACACTAGAAAGGGAAGAAATTCCTTACAGACTGAAAATACAAAACCCCAAAAGCAGCAAAAGGGGAAAGAAATCAAGTTTCTCTGCCTGGAGCAGCTCAGTGATCACAGGTATCAAGCTCCCAGCTAAACATCTCTCAGTTTTTGGTGTGTATACTCAAGTGAAAGTTATTCTCATCATGTGGAGTGGCTGCCTCAGGAATTTCACTTGTGATTCCACGTACCATAGAGGAAACCGAAGCTCTTTATGGAAACAGCAGCTACACAGAGCGGATGGGGAAGTGTGTCCGAACACTCGGGAGAGACAAATAGGCCACTTACCCCACTTTTTTTTTTTGTCTGTGAGGGACGTGAACTTGCAACACTTATTCCTGCCTGGGGAGGACTACGGGCAGTGTGGTTTAAGTAACACAGAAACACTCTTAAAGCCTAAACACCATTCAGGACACAAAGTGCAAGTGTAACACGGTATCACTGTCAGTTCCTGCTATCCGGGACCGAGTCCAAAACAACACAGAGCGGAGAAAAAGACATAAATACAAATACGCGAGTGTAAAATCAGGAAACACGGACGGGCACCTACTCGAGATCCAGCGCACGGGGTGCAGCGGGTCGAGGCCGCTGAGGACGATGAAGGCCGCGGTGCACACGGGCAGCAGCACCACGGACCAGGTGACGGCGGCGGCCACTCGCCAGCCCAGCACCTGCGGGGAGACAGCGTGAGGGGACCGAGGGGGACCGGCACCTCCCGCCAACCCAGCGCCTGAGGAGAGACAGCTGTAAGGGGGTACCGGGACACACCGCCACCCGCCAGCCCAGCGCCCGAGGGGAGCGCAGCGTGAGGGGAGCGGTCCCGGGGCACCGCCCGTGTCCCCGACCTGCCGCAGCAACGCCCGCTGCCCGCCCTGCCCCCGACCTGCCGCAGCAGCGCCCGCTGCCCGCCCGCCGCCGCCTCCATGGCCCGGCCCGGCCCCGCCGCCCGTTCAAAGCCGCCGCCCAACGGCCCCACGTGCCGGGCTGCGACACTTCCGCCGCGCGCCCGCCTCGCGCGCACCGGCGGCGGCCAATGGGAGGGCGCGCACGGCCCGTCACGTCCGATGGGTGGACTACAAGTCCCGGCGTGCCCCGCGCGGCCATGGCGGCCTGAGGGGGGTGTTCCCCCCGCCTTGTCTCCTGAGGGTCCTCCCAGGTTGAAAATGGTAAAATAAGTCCACATTAAGTCCATTTATTAAGACTTTGAAAACCTCGGTGGCTACACGGGCCGGCCGCAAAGGGCGTTCAATCCTGTCACAGCTCTTCCACACCACTTACTAAACCCTTCCCACAGTTTTAGAGCCTCGTGGAAAAAATACAAATCTCATATCGCCTTCCAGACGCTTTATTGAGAGGCAAAACAGCGTGGCGAATGTAGACTGCATTACAAAAAAAAAAAAAAAAAAAAAAAAAAAAAAAAAAAAAAAAAAAAAAAAAAAAAAAAAAAAAAAAAAAAAAAAAAAAAAAAAAAAAAAAAAAAAAAAAAAAAAAAAAAAAAAAAAAAAAAAAAAAAAAAAAAAAAAAAAAAAAAAAAAAAAAAAAAAAAAAAAAAAAAGACACAAAACCAACAAAAAAAATACCCAAACAAACAAAAAAAATCCCTTGTGTTACACATTGTGATCAATGGTTCGCTCTGCTCGTGGAACCAGCCTGTCTCCAGTGAGCGTGGGGATGTCCGTATGTCCATGGGACAATGCTGTCTGTCCTGCCACAGAAAACATCCCCCATTCCTGCAGTTTCCATTGTCTTCAGCGAAAAATAAATCTAAAATAAAATTACTGTACAGATGGAGAAACCGGCATTGTAATCTGAAAGAGACAAATAACTCTCATGAATATTTCAGCTCATCACCAGAGGACACAATAAGGTGCACATTTAGATCTAAATACTGAAATTCATTACTGTCATATTGATTCTTATTAGGCATCTGGGATGAGACACTGATTTTGCAGGAGGAAAAGCCACTAAAATTGACCTGCATGATTGG